CTGATTCATATCGTCTCAGCAATATAATGATAAATGTCATTCGCGCGCCGGATCATTTATCTTGTCAAAAGGCGCTGAGCGGGATCGCGATCCATCCCAACGCGGCCAGCCTTATATAGCTTTTTTTGACGCGGTTCCAGCACGACAGTGTCCGTGGCGCAGTCTGCTATCAGTACGATTATCTGAAGGTTGCGGGTTCGACCCCCGCCGGGAGTGGCACATTGTTTGTTAGCTCCCGTGGCGCAATGGTAGCGCGTCAGACTTCTATGCTAGGCCTGTCATCTCTCTTCTTTTTGCTTTTATTCCGAATTTATATGCTCTGTTTCTCAATAACAATATCATACTATCTGCTATTTCTTTGCCAGCAGCGTTCGTAACCTGAGAATTAATCTACAAAGTCCATACGACCGATCCTCACGTGACCCAACCCCATCGAAAAATGCAGTGTCTCTGATGTTGCTATCCTTTTGACATCTCGCAGCAATATCATCCGATATATTGCTTAGAAAGATGACCCTATGGCGACAGCTGAGAATGGCGATCTCACTTTTTACCCGGCATTCTGCTTCAGGGCATCCCCGACCCATTTCACCTGGGTGAAAATGGCAGCGGCGGATGTGCATCGACTGAAGAGACGGCCGGGATTTGAAGGTATGCCAGCGTATTTGTCTAGATGTTCATTACTTGTGCTTTTCCAGATGCTGCATCGTCGACTTTTGGTATTCTGTTTTATCTTCTTACTTGTTTTGCACCCAAAGTAGTCTATGTCAGTATTTGCTACTACGGTACTACCTGGTTGTCCATCACAAATGGCTTAGATACATACATACATACCAGCCAACCTATTCAAACATGGCGCAGACTAGACGGAAAGTAGCAACTCTAACGAACCTCAGGCCAAAACATCTTCTTCTACCTCAACCACCCCATCCGCTTCGTGTCCCTGGTCGGCATCATCGTCGCCAGAACAGACGTCTTCAAACGCACAATCCTCACATTAGACGACAGCAGCGGCGAGACCATCGAAATCGCCGTCCTGAAAGCCGAGTCCTCAGAGCCGGACTCTGCAGACCGGACTCCACACCGACAGCCACAGCCACAGCCGCCGGAAAAGGCCACACGCCATGTCGCAGCAACCAACAGAACTGACCTGGACATATCGCCCCTCGTCCCGGGGACCGTGGTGCAGGTGAAAGGCACGCTGACGGTGTTTCGAGCTGCGATGCAGCTACAGCTAGAGCGCTTCTTCCTGATCCGGGACACGACCGCCGAAATGCGGTTCGTGGATCAGCGCAGCCGGTACCTGGTTGAGGTGCTGACTGTCCCGTGGGAATTGACGGGTGAGGAGGTCGAACGGTTGCGGCTTGAGGCGGAGGCGGAGGAGGAACAGGCCGAAGAGGAGCAGGCGCGAGCGCGTAGAAGGCATAGGAAGCGTGCGGAGCGGGAGGAGAAGGACCAGCGTCGGCTTCAAAGGCTGTGGGAACGCGAGGAGCAGTTTAGGGAGAAAGAGGCGGTTCTGTGTCAGGAAGCTGGGCGCAGGGCCATGCGCGCTATTCAGCGCAAGCGCGTCATGAATATAAGCAGTGAAATGTGAGAGCAAGTATTTCTATATAAAACGGGAGGTGGTTTGGACAGGGTACGTGTACGCTTATGAGAAATGACCAATTATGGGTTACCGCACGTCCAGATAAACAATTTCATCGAGTCTTTTTCAAGGCCACAAACACGTTATACAGACACGAAATCCAAAATTCAAATGCATATCAGCAGATCGTTACACGTAAGTCATTATCTGGAAAGCATCAAGCCAAAAACAAACACTATAATATCATATCATATCAAACAAAGGTATCTTTCAGGACTGGAAAACGCCGAGATAGTAATGAGTCTGACTTTGAACAAGATAATCTGCCTCAAGTCCATCATTTGTAGGTATATGTCTTGTAATCATACCCGCCACTGCTGCCACTGACTGGGCCACCACCCTGACCGCCGAGCAAGCCACGGTAGTATTCTTCATCGTTAGCCCAGCTGCTTCGGGAAGGAAGATGGTCATGATATTTGCTCTTTTCGCGCTCCTTTTCCCTCTCCCGAACTGACTCGTACAGCCTCTGGTCATCACTATCGCGGTACCGCCGACTATCTTCGACGATGTCTCCAGGAAGGGTGGATGACGCAGTGTAGTAATCACTGCCAGAGAGGCCAGAATACCGAGCTCCACCATTGTGCGAGCTGGACAGCAGGTCACTCTCCGAATGTCTGTAGTCACCTCCCCCATGCCCGCCTCGAGACGAGCTCCGTGTCCGGCCATGTATGCTTATTGGACGCTGAGATCCGCTACTGCCTGCACGAGGGTTCAGAGGGTCTTGGCCGTATGACTCATATGCTTTGCGGGAGACAGGAGGGACCGATCCCTCTTTTGAGCGAGAACCAGTGGAGAAGGAGTCCTTGTGTCGGTGGGAAGAGCCACCTGCCTCTTCATATAGCTTCCCTCCTCCCGGTTGCGCACTATATGGCTTCCTCTCACGCTCAATCGGCCGAGACGGGACCTCTTCCTCGTCGTCATCTATGATGGCTGAGGACGACTGGTGCTGCTGCTGACGGCCCCGTTCTGTCACCGAAGGAGCCGTCTCGGCGGCCGATGCAGTTGAGCTCGTAGACATCTTGTGGCGGTGCGCAGCAACCTTCTTGAGCTCCTCCTCGGTGACTGGCGGCAAGTCGACACCACAATGCTTCGTGATGAATTTATCGATCTCATCTCTAACGGTAAGATTCGGTGCCTCGGGGAATAGCCGGCGAGGAATCTCCTTTGGAAACCTTTCTCGTCTGTCATCTGGGTTGCTGATAGGCATGTTCAGGACTGCCTTCTGCAACCGTTCGTATTCTTTGTCGGGGTGCGCTTGTATCATCAAGGTAGCCCAGCGTTCGAAACCTCGGGGCGTCAAGCCCGGGATGTCCGGCCGCTCGTTCAGCTTAGCCTGAACAAGGTGATGTTCGGCTTCCACTTCACGAAATAACCTCGAGATTGAAGACGTACGGTCATCGAAGATATCTACAGATACTTAGATTAGCTTTGTGTCGTAGATAGGACAGGCACTACACTTACCTTGCCACGGGTAGAGGTCTGAAGGAATCTTCGTATCCTCGTAGAACTTCTGCAGCTTCTCGGGAACGACCACGATAGTGTTACCTGGAGGGTAGTCCTCGATCTTGCACACTGTCAGATGCGAAATTCCTCCAATCAACGGCATCCATACTTACCAGATGGACTGCTATGCCGCGCAAGAGCTGGCCTAGCCTCTTGGTTGGCTTGCCTTCCTCAAAGAGCTTGCCCCATATCTTCTCCAATGTTGTCATCTCAGTCACGGTTGAGTCCCTCGACGGTGGTTTTGGGCGTGCTTCCATTTTCTGGCCTTGATCGCTTGCCTGGCTATACGGCGATTGCCTTCTCTCAACGGGAGGTACCGGGGAATGTCGTGCACTAGGTTGAGCGCCGCTCGGAAATGTACCAGTTTGGGAGTACTGCTGGTAGTCGGGAGTGTCGGAGACGGCACCCGGTTGCGACGAAGATGGCTTTGGTGGTACAAGAGGGGGCGATTCATACTCGTTATAATTGTATTGGGGAGCAGAGCCGGGAGGTACCCACTGTGACGGCGTCGGACCGGATGGTGGGTGCGGCGATGGTTGCTGCGACTGCGGTGGATGCTGAGCTTGGACGTTATCCAGACCAGTTGCTTTGAGCTGTTGAATCACGGTCGCAGTGATTTGGGACAGGACTTCTGGCGATAGATAGGTGGGAGTGTCAGCCTTGTGGAAAGCCGAGCTGACAGCCTCATTGATAGTTCCAGTGGATGGCTGCTGATACCATGAGTATTGCTGAGTAGGTGACTCCGTATATTGGCCCTGAGTTGACGGAGCCGGCGGAGGCACTTGGGGCTGCGGCATGTTCAACCGTTCAGGGCCGTACTGTGAAGGATAGGGAGGAGGATAGGTTGAAGAACGATAATCACTGGGCTTTGTTTGGCCTATATTGCCCGCCTGGTCGTACGGACTCGTGCTTCTCTGGAAGCCATCGTAAGCCATGCAGACTGTCGCAGTCACACAGACAAGTTAGCCACTTTCCACCCTCTGCAAGTGTCAGATTTTCACCAAGCCTCAGCTACACTCTGAGACGAATGGAAAGCGGGAGAATTCTGTTGGTGATACCAGTAAGGGATGAAGCTCTCGATGTGTTATACGCGGCGTGGGACGAAAATTTTGAGAAAGGTAAGGTATCTGCGCAGGCGGCAATGGGATGAGGGGCACGAGACGGAGGGGCTCAGGAAGTGTGGAGCTTCGCTTTGAAACAGTAAGTGCGTCGTGCCGGGTCGCAAGCAAGATGCTATTATGAAGGCAGTTTCTGTAACTATCTGCTCACGCACAATGGAAATTAAAAGAAAAAGAAGATCATCGATGGAGACATGCAGCGACGTTGACTTGCGAGGCTAATCTCAGCCTCCACCACGGGGTCATACGTCACCGCCCAAGCGGCGCTGCAGAAGAGCGGAAGGTCAAAGGAAACACATATTAATTAGTGATTATCAGCATAATGACAGTCGGTGTACCATTAAATGCGTTTTTGATGAGGCTGCACTCCTCCCTTGCTTGTTGCTTCGGAGTTTGCAATACAGTACAGAGCGCTAGAGGTCCTGCGAAGAGACATTGGAATACGGACATCATCAGCACTGCTTGCTACATAGTATGACAATATGACAATCCACGAGAGCCCGAATCGCTATTGGCAGCTGGTACAGAGCAGTCGATACAATTTCACAATTCCTACCCATGGATATCGCAAGCCAACTCTTGGTCCTTGCGGAGAAACGGAGCAAGCCGTCTAGTACCATGGTTCAGCCTGCTGTGGCCATTGGGACAATTGAAGAATAACGAAAGCGAAAGTCAACATTTTATTTCTCTTTTCTTAGCTTATTGACTGACTCTGTACCAAACTTAAGAATCGATCAGAGGTAATCTTCTAATCCTGCCTCGTCACCAGCCTCATCGTCAGAAGGGACGGTGGCGCCAATGGGCTCCGGCACTCGCATTGTAGGCGCCTCGTGCTTCTCGAAGCGTTTGCTCTTCTCGAACTCAGCAAATTGTCCATCGTCAAGGGATGCACTCATTTAATAAGGGACTTACCGGAACCTTGGCAAACTTGGAGTTGCCGGCCTTCTTAACAGGTTTGGTGACAGTAGCATTGACGCCCACTCCCCAGGACGCCCAACTGCCGTGAACGGACCGTGGGGTGCCAGAGGGAGAGCCAGAGCGGCGGTGGGCCACTCCGGTAGAATCGAAAGCTGTAAAAGGTCGTCCTCCGCGCGCCGAGTTCTCCTTCCCGTTGTGACCTTCAATGAGCGACATGCCGCCGATGTCCTCCTGCTCACCACTGCTGCCAACATGTTGGGCAGTGGGAGCCGCCTTCAATGTGAGTCTTTGAGTCGATGCAATCAAGGACCGAGACTCGACTTGTCCCTAAAATTGTGTTAGTACCACGATGTATGCATTCGTGGAGCATTTTGAGGATGGATCTGTGTGACTGACAGTTGTGTACGTATCGGGGGCAGTGGAAAGCTCACTCTCAGTCAAGAGTTTAGGCTCCTCGAGTACTGGTTCGGCATCGGCGTGACTCTGCACGCAATTCATGCATCTCTGGGAAGAATCGGATGTCAGCTAGACCCTTAGCTAATAAGAGAGACCTGAGGCAGTAATCCTACCGCTGCGTCCCTGTCCTGTCTTTGGGCTTTGGCAAATTCATCAAGGCTCTTGATCTTATCACAGATACAGCACTTGAGTTCAACAGTTTGGTTTCCCGAGCAGATGCGGCATTTTGCGTTGTTCTTCGTCAAAGCGACATTTGCACCGTGACTCAGGATGGTATGACGAAGGGCTTCGAGTTGCCTATTGGAGTAGTTACTCGACGAACGAATCTTGTTGCAGGTTCCACATTTGATCCTATCTATGTCAATCGAATGCGTGGATAAGGAACGAGCAAGCGACGGATAAATGACTGACTTCTCTGGTATGCTGACGCTCTGGAGCCTGCAGTTGTCCTTTCATTAGTTTCTCGGTGGTATATGGAAGCGAGGATGTGGGAATGGAACCTACCGTTTCTTGATCTCATCGCTGTAGCCTCCAGCATACGCACTTCGAAAAGTTGGAGGCATCTTGCCTTGAAGGTACTTCAAAGGGGAAGGTAGGGGATGGGAATCATAAAGAGTCAGTGGTTCGAAGAGAGTACAGATCGAGGCAAGCAGTTCAAATGACGAGACATCGAGAAAAGGCACTTGATTGTATAAATACTGCCCACCAACACTTCCGGACGGTTCTGTGCACTTCAGGCTAGGTTAATGAAGTGGTCGCTGGTGAATGGAACTCTAATATAGTGAATAGAGGAGATGGTCATTCCAAGCTGTTGACTGAAACATGATGCTAAAGGGTGGCTAGAATGTTGCAGAGATAATTTCACAGCAAACAGAAGAAAAACATGATGTATTTTTGTGTGCAAGAAGAGGGTACGGAAGGAGAAGGTCTCTGTGTTCTTTCTCTCAGTGAGCAGCTATCTTACTTTGCAGATAGAGAAGCACCTCATGTCCTTTTCAGGATGAGATCAATAAGTTTGTACCTGGGACAATCAATCCATCTTGACTATCTGCCAGTATCCTTCATGGCATAGGTGCACCAGCACTATCATTTTATTCCCTTAAATGTAAACATTTGCAAAGTGAGACAAGCATAAATGGCGGAAGAGCAAGCAAGCCAGGCGCAATCAAACAAAGGATGGAACATCGACTAGCATGATTTTGAGGTGAGGCAAAAGTCATTCAGCCAAAGCAGATGCCAATTAATTTTGACAGCAAAGTCAACACGTATCCAAGATGTTTAGGAAGACCTCATCAGGGCTTTTGATGTTAGGAACTGGATTCTAGAAACGCATATTAGCTACAAAAGACAAAGTGAGGGCAGAACGGAATATGAACTGCCTACATCAGAATAGTAGGGTGAAAGGCTCACAGGATAGGTAGTAGCTAAAATCTCTGGCCTCTAGCTGCGTATCCTTCAAACAACATCGCTGAAATCCTGGTTGGCTTCTGGTCAACTGAGTTCCGGTTTACTGAGTATCCATTATTCGAAGGCTACAGAGGAGATCAGAAACTTCAGTGTGTGTACTAGACGCGAAGCATGACTGAGCCAACGCATGGAACAGGTTGAAAGCAGTAAACGGTTCATATTGAATGCTGTTTGAAGGTCAATCATAAATACCTCCATGTTTATTTCCTCCAATCAACGCTTTACACAACTCCATAAAGTGTACAGCGCATTAGGTACTACTTGTGCATGGCTAGGAATACCTGAGGTACCAGTTACTCCAATAATAATAGCTGAGATGCATGCAAAGACGTGTTGTACGATGAGTCATGTAGGGTCTATCTGGGGGCCAGGGAGATCCGAAATGCTGTGCAGTTGGGATCCATCCGTTTGGGATGACAGCGTCCGAACGTCGACGTTTTGGCCTCTTGCTCGAAACGAGCAAGTCATATCCCGCTGGTCGCAGGAGCAACGAAAGATTGCGCAGGAGATTCAAGATTCAAGGTCTTAGATTTCAGGGCAATCTTGGTAAGGATATGTCTAGCGTCATTCCAGAAGCATGTCTATTTAACGAGCCGTGTCTGACAGGGGCTGCTCCTTGTTGATCCTCCGTGGTTGGTAGAGACCTGACAGTATTGGTTAGTCTACTCCAACGGTTTAATAATAATTGAGACTGCTAAGACGGGGACTCCCGCAATGCAGCGAGCTTCTGCGAGCTCTCTCCTCATTCTCCTGTCTTCCAGGCAAAGGAGATCGAAAAAAGGATCAGTAATTTCCCCTAGAATCTTGGATAATCCCCTGTCCTATCATCAAAATCCCTCATACGTAATAATTTCTGTCTCCTTAATCTAAATCCTTCTGGAAGGTCATAGATGCACAACGGCTTCAACGCTTAGATCGTACTAAGTATCACCAAGGGGTGATAGTGGTCAGAAGATTCTCCATCATAGTTAGAGGTAGAAAATGATGATCTTGGCAAATATGGAGTGTACTAGTACAGGAAATCAGTTGTTGCGCATCAGAGAGAGTCTCCAACTGTTTGACAATGCTGTGTCAGTGTGACCCTCTATTTTCGAATTTCCTTTTTCTTTTTTCACCTCAGGGACGGGTCGTAGATGAGGTGGTCCCACTACAGGATCCTCTTTGGCCCCTCTTTCCCCAGCGAACCTTTCACCGTTCACTGCACTAGTAGAGCTACTGACCACTAAGCGACAAGAACAGTGGCCAGTCTCTCGGATAGCTGGGACGGGCCTACAACGAAGTGGGGATCCGCATTCCCCGAGCGACCCGGCGCAATCAGGAGACTCACGAAGAGTTGAAAATCCGCAGGCAACATCCACTCTCCTCTTCCCGGCTGGACGGAACCATCAATCCTGGCCAATGAGACTAGCTAGGTCAGGGAGTATTTTCGAGCCAGGAGCCACTAAGAGCTGGTCTCTCACTAGCTGGTCTGTTGCCACCCACCGAGGTCTAGCCTGGCTCTTTCTGGTCACACACTCTTCCTTATGATGTCCGGCTGCCCAAACGCCAGTCTGCCGCGTTTCCCTGTTTGTAACGTTACGGAGTAAACACCCGCTAGTCAACATAGAGCAGATACTCCGGATAGTCGACCTTTTCGGAGGGTTCTTTTCAGTCGATTATTCTCTCCGATTTCCGGTCATTGTTGTTTTTGCTTGTCCTAGGTATTGACTATCCTTACATGAGCAACAGTGCAAGGCCTGAATAGAGTGACAAGTCAACAAAGCAATCGTCTCTGATGCCAGGGAGAGCTCAAGACGGAACAAAATGGACATCATCGGTTGAATAACAATGTGATCTGTTGTTCTCCCTAGGCTCCTAGCATGAAGCACATTGCCAAGGCAGTTGCATCTACTCCGTACTTCGCAGAGTACTCCATACGGAGAACGCAGAACTCCATCTGAACTCTGATTTGAAGCTCATTCTCACAGGAGTAGAAAGTACCTGAACTTCAGCTGATCAGCCTGATCAGCTCCCTGCTATGACAGGTCTCAAACTGTATTTGGAAGCAAAAATGTCAAAGCTGATCTCGAAATGCAGAACGATTAAGCATATCGATTGTACGGAGTACATACTCTTCAATGCCATTCCATGGTCCACGGATGGGTCGGACGGGTGTACCCCCTGCCCCTTGTTAGGTTAATTTGCACATGGCAACTCTGTTTAGATGGACTATGCGGTAGTGGGTCAATAGCCCATATAGGTGACAGTGTCATAACAGTCCAAGGTATTACCCGTCTTTGCAACGAGTAGCTACTCAACGGCGCTTGCATGTTGTGTGGTTACGCTGTAATCATCGAGTACTTGGTAGTTGGTACCTGTCTGTGTGCCAAAATGGGTGATTTGAGAATAAATCATGTTCCTTTCACTTGTTATTTATGGAGTATCTGATGCTAACAATCACCATCAGGTGTTACTATGACAGTCTATCTAGATCGTACTTTCGATAATGTACTGCACGGATCTACCATACAGGTTTAGGTCGATCGCGCATGGAATATGCAATGGAACAGCGATGGGCAGTATCAGGTTACTCGACAGTCTCAAAGCATTGATCAAGAGTGCAAACCTCCTAACGGCCCATTTGTGAGAGGTGTATTATGCATGTCTTCAGCCTTACCTATTGACTGATGATAATTGTATTTCCTTACCCCTCTACGGAGTAGTATGGAGACAATGCTCTGGTCAAGAACCAGAGCCACGGCCACATGAGAAGTACGGCGGATCATGTGGATCAATGCATTTTTATCAGATATGATATATCTAGATATGCACCGAGGTCGAAGCAGGGCGGCAGTATTGCTTTATTATTGGGCTTGAAAAGTATTTATCCAATATTTGAAGCGAAGATCCTCCCTTGCTATGGTTTCTTGTGTCACCATGGAAGAACGCAGTAAGTACTCATGAACCATGACGCAGTCATCCAGCCTCCTTACCTGCCATGATCAGTTCCTCCAAATGAATCGGCAGTTGTAGGTCTGGTAGTAAGAAGCATTATGTATCCGAGGACACTGATTATCCCATATCACGCTCATTCAGAATATACCTGAAGTGAAAGAATAAAAGCGAGCTCGCTCATGGCGCTGCTCGTATTATGAGTGGTCTAGGCTTGCTGTTGCGTATGCGCCTATGTGCCCTCGGCTTCCACAGCTAGGCTTCATCATTTGATCAACATGGCTCTGATTTGTGTAGACTGAAGAAAGTTCCCACCAAGTCTACTCCGTACCATCCGTATCGAGCTGTCGGCAGTCGCCAGTCCAACGAGCAGTCATGAGATCATTACTAATCTGATAGTCTCGTTTTCGAGATCACTTGCCACCTGTTGATCGTTGTGAATGATGGCGGTCAACCAGCTGGCAGTCGCCTACCTAGACTCTAGCTACATGTCCAGCCACTGTCGGTAAGAGATGATAGGCACAAGCCAGGATGTAAGCCACTCCATACTGTAGCAGCGGGGAAATCAAGTGACGAAAATAAGAAATAGATAGATAGAATGTAGTCTAGATGGCTATCCACAAGATTTTCCAGCAGTCAGTCCTCTGTACACTTGCATGAACTATGGCTGATCTGATGATTTCGCCTCTCTGTTAGGAAAGAGTACTCCAAGCTACCTTACAGTGTATGAATACCCACTTTGTCCAAAATGAGCTACTGTAGTGTTAGTTAATGGATATGGTTGTATGCATGCAACTATTATTATTGTTTATGTGTTGCCGGACGAGGGGGAGCTTGATGACTACGTACTATGACAGAAACCCAGACAATAATAGGAGCAAGGAAAACAGCGCATTAACCTCCCAGAAAATAATCCATTTCAGTCCTTAAAGGGTGGCGGACAGGACCGCAAATGAGGTCAGTTGCACATACCACACCATCATCCCATACATACATGTCACATTATCAAGGTATCTGATTTGTGAGCTCTGAAATTCGCGGTTTTGCATAAGCAGGATGAGATACTGAGTGGGATGATGATGATGAACACAAGGCGAGCAATCGCAGCGAGTCAGCAGTTAGAACTCAATCATAGCCAATTGGCAATAATAGGGCGAACCTTGAA